GGGGGGGGGGGGGTTTGGGAACTTATAAGACTATTAAGGACTATTGTGAATTTAATGAAAACAATGAGGAACCGCCCCTCTTCTCTTGCCTGTTAGTCTCTGCCTCCATGGGCACAACACCGTACATTAGTGGCGGAATAGTACTTCTGCAACTGGGAAAATCTCAGTACAGATCTTCTAACTGTTGCGTACAAGCTAACCTCGTCGCTAATGTCTCTCGCCGGGATCAACCATTGGATTCTTGACAGGTTCTCTCAACGTGCTTCAACAGTATTTCATATATTTTGTTCCTCACCCTCCCGCAAGCTTCTAATTCAGAATCCTTCAATGAGGAACCGTCTTTGCGTCTCACGTTCTCTACCCAGTCATTCACTCTCTTGATCATGAACATCATTTCAGCTACCTGGCTATCAGACTTTCTGGAATTTGTTTTGCTACTGACCCAATCTAAGTATTCCTCAAGGTTACTCAAAAACCATGTTCTACTTTCATCGTTCAAGGAATTTGCTAGTTCAGCACATACAGGTGAAACACTCCCTTTCACCCAATCTGGTTGCTTGTCCATGTCAAGTGCCAACCCAGCATACAATTCATCATTGCTTACCTGTTTCCTAGACAATCCCTCTTTACGTTTGCCACGAATGGATTTAGTTGATGATTTTTCTGCACTCGTAGCCTCTAGAAAAAGAGTTTTGGTTTTGCTGTGATCAGAAATAAGGTTGAGATCTGATGCCACGGCAGCTTTAGTCCATGAAGTGGCGTTTTGCTTTCTGTCTAATGCGAGTCTTAGTGCTTCCCCAACAGCATTAGGGGCATTTGGATCGGTATCAGCTGTTCTTCGCTGACCAATACTCGTTAGTGAATGCAAAATTAACCTGGTATTAGTCAAGTCATCTTGAAGAGTAAAGAATTTGTCAACTGATAGTTGCTGATCATTCCCCTTCGCCTTCAGAAGCTGGGAGTATGTGCTGAGAAAAGTGGGAGAAGGAAGGTTAGTCTAGTGACTGTTGAAGTCGTAACTGATTCAATCACAGCTTATACTTGCTCATATCTGTCATGAGTAAATGGAAAAGAGAACGAAACAGACTGGTAAATAAGTTCATTCCTGTCATGCAGAAACCTTCATGCATGAAGCTGCCAAGTTGCAAGGATAAGGCAATCAAGTGCTCGTAGGGACACATGCTCTTACCAAAAGAAAGGGTAAAGCTCACATATTAGGAAGAAATTTTAACCGAGTAAAATAATTAAATTATATCCATGATCTGAATGATGTGCAACAGAATGTTGGCAGCTCCTGAAATTACACTCCAGAAGCATAAATATGCAGACCTTAGGCATTTGAGCAATCTTTCAGCAGCAGAAGCCTCTTGCAAAGTTTCAACAGCAGCAAGCAGAGCAATGTCTCTTTGTCTTGACACCTCCTGCAGAACATATCAACCCATTTATCAGACAGATAGTCAAGGTAAGTGCTCATAAAGTTTAGCTAAGTACAGCACATGCAATACCTGGCCAAGTTTCACCAGAGTAGAGGGAAGGAAATCGCATGATATGTTAGTGCCTGCTGAGTTTTTATTGCTTAACGAACTGAAATTCACTTTTCTATCAACATAATCTTCACTTATTTTTCCTGGCACTGAGATACGGCTACCCTTGCTGGATATCTTGGATGATTTTGTGGATAAACTAACAACTGTTCTTTTCGATCTGGAGCTTGAATTGTCATCAGAGCTATCATACTTCAACGAATTAATTGGCGAAATCTGTCCATGAAGAGACAGCATGGAGTTATTTTAAAATATTAGCGGAATGAAGAGATTAAAGAACTTCTTGAGAAGCACACATTACTAGAACAAAGCAACCATTTCATATGGCAAAAACATGATTTTAAATCATTGAATCGTAAATTGATTCAGTAATTACTCCTTAAATATGAATTATTTTGTTGGAGAAAAATCTTTTGTGAAATTGAGAAAATAGGAAGAATTCCATTGTTTCCCTAGTATATTTGATAATTGGGCTAAAAACATTTTGAATTTCTACTTTTTTAAGTTCGAAATATGCAGCCAAGTTTTGTTACACAGCTTTGTGCTCCAGTTTGTTTAATGATAACTATCCGTAATCCATGATTCATTCTTCTTGAGAAGTCACAGAATCTTGAGACCACAACCTTCACCAGTTATATGACAAAGGTGCAAAGAAGTTCAAGAACTCACAGAAAGTCTGCTGCTTCTAGTATCAATCCCGAAATCATTCTTGTCAATAGGGGTGTCAGAAATATCAATTGCTGGAGCTTCCCTACCATGCCAGCTTCTTCTCTTGAATGTTGATGATGTAGAGTTGAATGACATTGTACTTTCCATATCACTATCTTCATAAGCATTCGTGGATTTATGTCTCGCAAGTCCCTTATAATTGCTTCCAGCACCACTCTTTTTATGCCTGTGACTCAAGGCACTCTCAACTTCTACCTTGTGAGGCCTGTAATTCGGTGCCCTTCTAGGCATTCCTTCACGTGAGCTTATTATTGAAGCACTAATGGAGCGAGATCCTACGCCTGGTTTCTTTACCATATCACTACCACCTTGATCAGTAATGCAATTAGGGCCCCCGGTTTTATAACCTGTCCCCTCATATGCACTTACTTTCGGAACACTTAAAGATCTAGGCTTTTCCGTTTCTGTCTTCTTCGGTACCTCAATGCAATCCTCAACCATAGTTTCCAAACTGGATACACCAAGAAATTTTTTCAAATTATCAATCGAGAGAAGTTCTTTAGGATTCCCATAACATGGATGCCTTCCTGGAAGAGGCTTAATGCCTCTGAGCATTGGAACTGGATATGCAGCCTCCAATTTCTCCACATACATGAATTGCCCAAGATGCAATTTGTCATATAGAATCAATTCATCTTGTTCTTGAGGCAATGAAACATACAATGCATGTGTCAAATCCGAGATCTTCAAAAAGAATCCTTGATTAGGCCAAAGATTACCTTCTCTTAACAGAGGAATTATACTTCTAATCTGTAACAACACGGGCTTACAATCGCGTATTGTGTTTCCATCAACATCCATTTCTTGAAGAAACTTCACAAGAACCCCAGATTTCAACTCTGCCATCTTCTTGAAAAAATAGTGATCAGAGAAACTCAAGATCTTGAAACATAAAGAATGCTATATAGTGTACAAGTCAACAGACTGGCTCTATGAAACATCAAATAATTTTCTTGGATCAATGAAACTGAAATCCTGATTTTGTTCATGAAGAAGATTGAAGAATGAGTGATTATAGGCTATGAAACAGCAGGAGAGGTCCAAAAGAGGGAATTATCTGAATTTGTTGTTTTTGGTTTTTTGATGATTTCAGATAGGAGAATTTTAGATCGTTATCTTCAAATAGACAGAGTTAGAAATGGTCAAAAGGGAAATATTCTAGGCCCTTTGCATTGGATTATGGAATATGAACTCCTTATAACTTCGCTGTCCCAATGACAATGATAAAAATTGCAATTAGAACTCTAAAAAAACAAAATAATAAACCGGGCCTGGCCTATACATTTTGGGAAAGCACAAATCAAGTTTGGGCTAGCTTAAGAAACCGGAACTTCAAAACAATAACTCCTTCAGGGTTCAGAAAATCTTTCCGAGCGAACCATCAGCAAGTGCCAAGTCAGTCTTGTAATTCTCCAAAGAACGGTTCTTTTTGTTAGATCAACTTCATCCCTTTTGTGTTGCAAATTACTGATTTGGTGGGCCGCTCAATGGAAAGTAGAGTGCAGTGCTTGCAATTCCTTAGAAGGCACTCTTGCATGACTGCACATAAGTAAGACGCTTTTGCTTTATATTATACCAAGCCAAGATCAAGCCGCTTCCTTACTGCAGAGTTAAAATAACAAAAAATCATGATGTCTGTCATCATACTGCCTCCCTGGCTTGATTATTTTGAGAAGTTAATAAAGTATGTTGAGATGTGGTCCAATTTGATTGGTTGAGGTCAGAGTTACATAGTGAAAACCTCTAATTTCAATACGGATTGCAAGGGTGCATTTGGGAAAGTGATCCCGCGAAAGAATGTGTCAGCATAGAACAGCCAAATCCCCAAACACAACGTAGGCCTCGAAAAGACAGCTGATAATTTTCATGGCCAGGCTTCTCTAATGCTTTGCTTAAAAGACTCTCCACGCTAAGAAAATCGAATAAGAAAATAAAAGAAAGGGATAGATTAAAGAATGACAGTCTGCTTTTCGTGCTCTGTAATAACTCCAAAAAACTGATGCTGGAGGTATATGTAAGTTTATACTGTCCCCGAAATAAATTTGGGACCCTATCATTGTCCACAAACTAGCTTTTGTTGTTCCTAAGCATCCTAACATTATCACATCTTAAACTAGGAAGGAATCGGTCAAATTAATGCCCCATCCTATCTATATACCTCAATCAACAAGCAAACCATCTAATTGGCATAGAAACCATGTTGGTGACATCAAGGCTAAGCCTCAGCTATAAAACCTTAGCCAATTGCTAATAATGCAAAGAAATAAACAAAACGAACTGTAAAAAAAAAACCATGAATATCCAACTTTTCCTAGCACTTCTTCTTTCGTCGCTCCTAACAGTCCCTTGTTTCGCTCAGAATTTTGCTTGTGACAAGAACATTCCTGAAACGAGACAGTTTCCCTTCTGTAACACATCCCTGTCATACGAGAACAGAGCCAAGGATCTTATCTCACGCTTAACGTTACAAGAAAAGGCGGAACAACTAGGAAATCATGCTGCTGGGATTTCCCGTCTAGGCGTCCCTGCTTACGAGTGGTGGTCTGAGGCACTTCACGGCGTGGCAAGTGTCGGTTATGGTGTACATTTTAATGCTACAGTACCAGGTGCCACTAGCTTCCCAGCTGTGATTTTGTCCGCTGCTAGTTTTAATACAACATTATGGTTTAAGATGGGACAAGTGGTGTCAACTGAGGCCCGGGCCATGTATAATGTCGGTTTAGCCGGGCTAACATATTGGAGTCCCACCATTAATGTGTTTCGAGACCCAAGGTGGGGTCGGGGCCAAGAGACACCGGGGGAGGATCCTCTGGTGGTGTCAAAATATGCTGTAAATTATGTTAGGGGCTTGCAAGAAGTTGGCGAGGAAGGAAATTCCACTGGAAATAGACTTAAGGTATCGAGTTGCTGCAAGCATTATACTGCATATGACCTTGACAAATGGAAAGGTGTCGATCGATTTCACTTTGATGCCAAGGTATGAGTGAATCTTGGATATGAACTACCATTTTCACTGCATCAATGTGTTAATATGGCCAGCAGATAACTTTCTTGATGAATTCTTTCTTTCAACTGTGGTATACTTTCCCAATGACAATATTGAGAACAACGCTATTTTTGCTTTGAAGGTGACAAAACAGGACCTAGAGGACACATTTCAACCGCCATTTAGGAGCTGTGTGGAGGAGGGTCGTGTGAGTGGTGTGATGTGTTCATATAACAGGGTTAATGGCATTCCTACTTGTGCCGATCCAGACCTGCTTAAAGGGGTTATCAGAGAACAATGGAATCTTGACGGGTTTGTTGACTTCTACTTCTTTCCTAGGCATATATGAGTACTGAATCAAGTAACAGGAAAATAGGAACTTTTTTCTTCTGATTTATATTTTTCATGTTTTAACTTCTGTTTTGTGCGTTTTTGGGCAGATATATTGTATCAGATTGTGATTCCATTGAGGTTTATTATGACAGAATCAAATATGCAGCCACACCTGAAGATGCAGTAACCCTGGCCTTAAAAGCAGGTACACATACAATGCACTTGCAAGAATCCTTGATGACTGTCTGAAAATTGAAGATTCCAACTCTTCTTGAGTATTGATACCTTATAATGATCATGTAATACAGGTTTAAACATGAACTGCGGAGATTTTTTGCCAAGGTATACAGAGAATGCAGTCAAGTTAAACAAAATTGAAGAATCTATTGTAGACCAAGCCTTAATCTACAATTATATAGTCCTAATGAGACTTGGATTCTTTGACGGGGACCCAAAATTGCACCCATTTGGAAATCTTGGACCATCAGATGTATGTACTGAAGAACATCAAGAGCTAGCGCTTGATGCTGCAAAGCAAGGGATAGTCTTGCTAGACAATAAGGGAGCTCTTCCTTTGTCTAAAAACGCCACAAAAAACTTGGCTGTTATAGGACCAAATGGTAATGCTACCGTGGCTATGATAAGCATCTATGCTGGTATACCTTGTGAATACACTACACCTTTACAAGGACTGCAGAAGTACATCTCATCTGTCACCTATGCAGCCGGGTGTCCATTCGTGAATTGCACTGATGAATCGCTTGCTGGGCCAGCAACTAAGGCTGCTGCTACGGCAGATGTGGTGGTGTTGGTGATGGGGCATGATCAATCTATAGAGCAAGAGGACTTGGATAGGGAGAACCTGATATTGCCAGGATATCAAGAAAAACTTGTGAAGGATGTGGCTAATGCTACAAATGGAACAATGATTCTTGTTGTAATGTCTGCTAGTCCTGTCGATATCTCTTTTGCCAAGAATGAGAGCAAGGTTGGAGGGATTTTGTGGGTTGGCTACCCTGGTCAAGCTGGAGGAGATGCCATAGCTCAGGTCATATTTGGAGACCACAATCCTGGTAATCTTTCTATTTCAATTTCCAAACCACATAATTTTCTGCATCTCATGTTTGAGCATTCTATTACCCATTTATATCTGTTTCTAGCCAAGACAAAGGTTACAAATTACCACCTTCGTACTGACAATCTCTTCATCTTATCAGCTGGAAGGTCTCCTTTTACATGGTATCCAAAAGAGTACTCCGATCAAGTGCCAATGACAAACATGAACCTAAGAGCCAATGCAACTGATAACTTCCCTGGAAGAACCTACAGGTTCTACACTGGAAAACCATTATATGAATTTGGCCATGGACTAAGCTACTCAACTTTCTCGAAGTTTGTTATTTCTACTCCTTCTACCTTACTAGTTCCATTGAAATCTTTTCTTAATCCAAGTGGCATTCCCTCTGTTTATTCCTCCAAACAAGACCCTTATCCTAATGGCCAAGCCATTGATGTTTCGAGTGTAAACTGCACCAATTTGCAACTTGTTCTAGTCATTGGTGTGAGAAACAATGGGCCAGCGAATGGAGATCATGTGGTGCTAATCTTTTGGAAGCCACCTAAATCAGCAGAGATAACAGGTCCACCAAATATGCAACTTGCTGCATTTGACAGGGTGCATGTGAAAAAGGGCAACACAAATAATATAACCTTGGCTGTGGATGTGTGCAAGGGACTAAGTCTTGTGGATAGCGACGGACAGAGGAAGCTGGTAACGGGACAGCATACATTTATAATTGGATCTCCGAGCGAGCATCAAGTGAGGTACCATCTCAACGTTAGGTTGGCTCAAAATGGAAGCTTGGGAGGATTCACATTTATGTAATAGAAAGAGGATTAATTTCCCATGAGTGTCCTCATCCTGGAGTTGATGTCCTGACTCCTGATCCGAAAATACCAGGCGACCCCGCGACCTTAAGCTTAAGATAGATAGTATTTATGCTATTTGTACTCGAAATTAGTTAAAAGAAAAGGAAACATAAATAGAATAATGGAAAACGCTATATGAAGGGTTTGAACTTTCAAGCTTATAATTAACAGCTACACGGTCTAACCAGCTGAGCTATGATCTATTTGTTTTTTAATTATGACTCACGAGTTTGTTCTATGATAAGTGGATTTCACGATTTGATGAGGTTCCGACACAAATATGGCAGCGTGTAGGTAATTCCGGTTATGGCATTTTAACTTTAAAAGGTGGCTAGTTCAAGATCATTTCAGGAAGATTCTCATCTATTTTCTCTCCCTTCACCATAAACCACAGTAAACAGCACCCACCATTAAAAACAAAAAAGAAAAAGATCTAAACACCCTGAAATGTTTTTAACTTTCCAGTCCTCCTTTTAGAACACCACATGATTTTACCCTTGCAAATCAAACTCATGGTGCTGGAGTACAAAATCATTCTAAAACACAACAAAGTGAAAATTTGTCGACTTCATTGATGACTGCCGGAAGAAACATCCTCCTGCACTGTGATAACTGATACAAGAGGTTATCAGGATTCAAGCAAGTCTAGATGCCTTAACAAGCTACTGATCAGTTGGCTGAGCAGATCTGTTACCATGTAAGAAAAAAACATGCATTCAACATCGTTGACCGAATCCTTGATTTCCTTTACAATAACATCTATTCCAAACCATGGTAAGCAAATCCTTGGTTTTCACTGTTGTTGCTAAAAAAACCGAGTGGGAAAGAAAATGGAAAGAAAAAAAAAGTTTCTAGACATAAAAATGCAAGTAAGCTTAGGTTTCCAAACTTTTGACAGACAAGTCATCATCACGACACATCCAACACAACTACTTGTCCAAATACTCCACAATTTAAAAAAATGGGCTGACCCGCTGTCACCTTTTATTTAATGGAACAAAGAAATCAACCCAGTTAATTGCATAAATAATAATATAAAACAAAACAGACTTGTTGCTACCAACTGTTGATGGCTGAGGAGTTTACGATGAGCAGTTAGTTCTCAATATTTTCAATTTTAACTTACAGGTGTCGATGGATAAAATATTCGTTATCTTTAGTACTGCCATCACAAAAGTCAATCCAAGGTGCCCACAGATAATCTCAGTTTCATGAAGAAACTACACAAAACAACATGCCATACAGACACCATACTTCAATTCTCCAAATAAACTAGCACTGCCTTAAAAATAAAAGATATAAATATAATTATCTCCATTAATCTTCTTTTAAGTCTTGGTCTTCTCGTTCACATGTTCCCTATCATAAAAGATCGAGGCATGATATTTACAAGATGACACCAATCCCGACTCTTACATATTATTCTCACCGAGTAAAAAAAAAAATTATTATCACAAAGTGTTACATAGTCACCTCATAAAGTATTGTATCGTTTTTATAACTAACTTAAATAGTTATGATGGCTTTACAAACTCTAGAGTATACATATAAAATGTTAGAAGCATCCTATAGCTAATAATACAGAAAATGAAGCCATGTGTAGGATTTTCACTACAGCTTTTTATGAGGAATGATTAGGTGTGATATCATAGCTTCTAGTTTCATCCTAGGTTTCTACCAATCTCTATGTGTGAAGCCTATCTTTTATTTTTGTTAAATAATATTTATGTAATCTTATTTATTAAGGGTAGAATAATATTTTCAGTTTAACCTATATATAGTTTATATGTATTTAGGTTAAGTCCAAACACTCATAATACTGAGATTATTCAGAATTGTAGCCTCCATTTTGTGTTTGATCTTTAATTATTTTAACATGGTATCAGAGCTGATTTTATGAAACAAAGCTTAATTCCGAACACAGCTTCGCGGATCCAACTAAATTTTTTAGAGTGAGATATTGTCTTCTGCTTCTGCAAAATTTGGTATTTCGTCAGTTTCTGCAATTATTTTGGTATTTCGTCTTTCATTCAGCTTTTGCAATTTGGTATTTGCATTCAGTTTCTGCAAATTTGTTTTGTGTTTTAGAGTAATCGTATAATTCTGAGAAGATATTTGTTTAGTCTCTGCAATCTCTGTTTAGTTTATGCAATTTGGTATTTAGTTTTCCGTTGCTTTTGCATTCTAGCTTTCTGTGATTGTTGATCATGGCTACTGAAAAAGATGATTCGCTTCAGTTTGTGAGTGTGAGGTTGAATGGGAAGAACTATTCGTATTGGAGCTATGTAATGAGAAATTTTCTTAAGGGTAAGAAAATGTGGGGATATGTTAGTGGAATTTATGTGGTACCTAAGAATACTGAAGAAGGAGATACTGCTTCGATAGATGCATGGGAAGCAAACAATGCAAAGATCATTACTTGGATCAATAATTCTGTTGAGCATTCTATAGGTACACAGTTAGCGAAGTATGAGACATCAAAGGAGGTTTGGGATCATTTGCAACGGTTATTCACGCAATCAAATTTTGCAAAACAGTATCAATTAGAGAATGACATACAAGCTCTTCACCAGAAGAATATGAGTATTCAAGAGTTCTATTCTGCCATGACAGATCTTTAGGATCAATTGGCTCTTATAGAATCGATAGAATTAAAAGCATGTGGTGCTTATATTGAACGTAGAGAGCAGCAACGATTGGTACAGTTTTTAACAACACTTCGTAGTGATTTCGAAGGACTTAAAGGTTCAATTCTGTATCGTTCTCCACTGCCTTCTGTTGACTCTGTTGTTAGTGAGTTATTGGCTGAAGAAATATGTCTTCAGTCTTATTCTGAAAAGGGTGTTATTTCTACTTCAAATCCTTATGTATTAGCAGTACCTTCTAAGTCATTCTCCAATCATTAGAACACGCCTTACACAAGGGTTGGCTTTGATGAGTGCAGTTTCTGTAAGCAGAAAGGTCATTAGAAGGCTCAGTGTCCTAAGTTGAGACAACAGAATTAAGCTTGGAAGTCTGGCAGTCAGTCACAATCTAATGCTCATTGACCACCTCAGGGTTATAAACCACCACACCACAATATTGCAGCGGTAGCTTCCCCAAGCTTTATTACTGATCTTAATACTTTGGCTGAGTAATTCCAGAAGTTTCTCTCCTTGCAGCCATAAGCAATGTCCGCTTCTTCTTTCATAGGTCAGTTGCCTCATAGTTCCTCAGGTATATCACACTCTGAATGGGTCTTGGATTCTGGTGCTTCCCATCATATGTCTCTAGATTCCTCATCTTTTTTCTCTGTGTCCCCTTTGTCTTCCATTCCTGTTATGACTACTGATGGCACTCCTATGCCCTTAGCAGGTGTTGGTTCTGTTGTCACACCTCACTTGTCTCTCCCTAATGTTTATCTTATTCCAAAACTCAAATTAAATCTTGCATCTGTTGGCCAAATATGTGATTCTGGTGATTATTTAGTCATGTTTTCTGGTTCTTTTTGTTGTGTACAGGATCTGCAGTCTTAGAAGCTGATTGGGACAAGCCGTAGGGAGAGTGGACTATATATTTTAGATGAGTTAAAAGTGCCAATTGTCGCTGCTGCCGCTGCTACTACTACTATTGATTTGTCTTCCTTTCGTTTGAGTCTTTCATCTTCTAGTTTTTATTTATGGCATTCCCGTCTAGGTCATGTTTCATTTTCTCGTTTGAGATTTTTAGCATCCACAGGAGCTTTAGAAAATTTGAAAACTTGTGACATTTCTGATTGTAGTGGATGTAAACTGGCAAAATTTTCCGCCTTACCTTTTAATCGAAGTATTTCTATTTCATCTTCACCATTTGATTTGATTCATTCTGATGTATGGGGACCTTCTCCTGTTGCCACAAAAGGAGGGTCTCGATATTATGTCTCTTTTATTGATGATCATACTAGTTATTGTTGGGTTTATTTAATGAAACATCGTTCTGAATTCTTTGAGATATACGCAGCTTTTCGAGCTCTCATTAAAACTCAACATTCTACTATGATCAAATGCTTTAGGTGTGATTTGGGTGGGGAATACACCTCTAATAAATTTTGTCAATTACTTGCCTTAGATGGAACCATCCACCAAACTTCATGTACAGATACTCCTGAGCAAAACGGTGTTGCTGAAAGAAAACATAGGCATATTGTTGAAACTGCTCGTTCTCTCTTATTGTCTGCTTTTGTTCCTAGTGAGTTTTGGAAAGAAGTTGTTCTTACTGCTGTAAGTTTGATTAATACAATTCCATCTTCTCATAGTTCGGGTCTATCTCCTTTTGAAAAGTTATATGGGTATATCCCTGATTATTCCTCATTTAGAGTATTTGGTTGTACTTGTTTCGTTCTTCATCCTCATGTAGAACGCAGTAAGTTATCCCTTCAATCTGCTATTTATGTTTTTCTAGGTTATGGTGAAGGTAAAAAGGGGTATCGTTGTTTTGATCCAATAACTCAGAAACTTTATGTGTCTCGTCATGTTGTCTTCCTTGAGCATATACCTTTCTTTTCTATTCCATCCACTGCTCATAGCTTGACTAAATCTAATCTTATTCGTATAAATCCTTTTTTTGAGGATTCTGGTAATGATATCTCTCCACATGTTCAATCAATTTGTACTCATAACTCTGCAAGTACTGGTACTTTACTCTCTAGCACACCTAAAGCTCCATTCTCATCTATAACCCCTCAAGCTTCATCTGAGATTATAGATCCACCTCCACGTCAGTCCATCCGTATTCGTAAGTCCACAAAACTACCAGATTTTTGCTTATTCTTGTTATTCTTCATCATTTACTTCCTTTTTAGCTTCTATTCATTATCTTTTTTAGCCTTCTTCTTATAAAGAGGCAATTTTTGATCCGCTTTGGCAGCAAGCTATGGATGAGGAACTTTCTGCTTTGCATAGGATAGATACTTAGGATCTAGTTCCTCTACCTCCTGGTAAGAGTGTTGTTGGTTTTCGTTGGGAGTATAAAATCAAAACTAATTCTGATGGGTCTATTGAGCGATACAAAGCTAGGTTGGTTGCAAAAGGATATTCTCAACAATATGGTATGGACTATGAGGAGACATTTTCCCCGGTTGCAAAAATGACTACTATTCGTACTCTTATTACCGTAGCTTCGATTCATCAATGACATATTTCTCAGCTTGATGTTAAAAATGCCTTCT